CAATGTGAGTATATAAAAAATTCAGCTCTCAGCAAAAAGTAATTTAATAGCCTTGAAACATAAATATCATAACACTGAAAACAAGTCATTGGGTTTGACGAGAAATCAAAATAAATTTCACCTTGAATAATTTAAAAAAAAACGATTTGGGAAAGAGTGAGAAATATTACAAAAATTTCTGACACTTTATTAAGAGTAAATATAGTAATTAAAATATTTTTCAAATAAGGAAAATTCGTTACACATACGTAACTATATACAATAAGTGATGACAAGTTGAGAATTAAAAATATATGACTCTAATATACAGGGTGTATATATAACAGAAAGATGATATATTATTGTAAATAGTTCAAAAGTACAAGTCCCAATTATTAACATATTAATATTGGTTTAGATATCAATTTATTTATCAATTTATAGTCAATAGGCATACTAATATGCAATACACTGTAGGTTAGTTTATAAGTCAGATTATGTAAAGCTATCGGTAAAATTGTCTGCAGTAAGCAGCTATACATGTAATTATAGGTTAATGTGCGTTTGGACTTACGCGTAAAAAGTGCTAATGCGAACTAAAGCCTGCTTACGGGAGTGCGATCGTTCGGGAAGTAATAACAGTACGATTTGTGACACTGGAGAGACTCATTACGGTGGAGAGACTCTTGTTTCACTGTGGGATGTACAGCCACACGTCCATAGTCGATGGAGGACTAGACAGCTACATCAAGAAGATGGGAGCAGAAGAATGCTGAAATATACATCGCTACCGATCGATACGACTCTACAATAGGCTAAATAACCTGGGAACAATACAAACACAACAGTTGTGAAAGTCAATTGTCACAACTTTACAGAGGGCACGTTGAAAAGATCACTAATAAACAATCACTAGAGGAATTGGTAATAGTAGAACAAGATAAAAACATATTTGCTCTAACGCTACAAAAAAGGGCTATAATATGTAACACAGAAGTATGGCAAACTGAACACCGCCGAACTCTAATAAATTTCCTAGTAAACACAAAATAAATCCTAGTATGCCATTCCTACCTCAAAACGTAGACCTAATGACCTACATCACTAGCAAATTCCTTTACACCAAACAATCCTACCAAAGAGAAATAGAAAAGCTATACTTAGACACAGTACTGCGACGATGCCAAACAAAAAGAGAAATTAAAAAAAAAACAGATTACTAATGGCCCCATCCTTACCTAATGCCGTCAGTCAACTCATGCAGAACAGGCCAGGGTACACATGCAGCAAACACATACCAGATACCAATGTAGCAGAAGTATAATGCGACAAAGCAAAGCAGTAGCAACCTGAGACGACCACCCAGCAAGGACAGACCAATGGAGGCAGACAGCAGCAGTTACGCATCAATATAGTTAACTCGACACGTGGAATTGGCAAACGGACATTAAAACAGCCAAGACGTCGCGAGTGAAGTGCGGACAATTCCCTCAGGGATACGCGATAAAGTGAACGCAAAACGCGAGTACAATCGTATAGAACAATTAGAATACGCTTGTCGTAATGGACACATGTAATCACGAACAATTGTAATAAGTTAGGAAAGTTCTTTCACTTGTTAAGTTTCAATAAGATTAATACAAGATTAACTCAACTTGTCATACACATAGGTTCAATACGGGGGCAGCACGATACATTCGCTGACCACGGTACAATAGTCTATAAGAAACAGTAAATGATAAAATATAAATTGGGACTTATATAAAAATATATATAGTAGATTATAAGTAATATAATATGTAAATAGATAAATTTATTGTTGGAAAAGGAAAAGGCCCCTCGGCCCTTTTCTTTTTTTGCGTAGGGAGTAATGTAATGTAAGCGTAGCAAGTGAGTGAGAAGTTGGAATAAAGGGATAATGGAACAATAAGTAGCATAGAAAAGATAATAATTATTCGAGATAATTATTATATATTCCAAATTAAATAAGGGATAATTAATACAGTTAACTTATACATTTAAATTATACAAAGTATAACAATTGACCTAGTTATGGCATTGTTTGATAATTGTTTAAACGTATAAAAAGCACGAAACTATTAACAACAACAGCCGTGACCCAAATAGGCACATAACGCCAAAACTGCAACTCAGCGAACCTACGACCTTGGTACTAGAACCGGCGTTGAAAGTACGACCACAATAAAACAAGAAAAAACGACGGACGCCAGACAGTCGGTAGTCGGTAGTCAGTAGTCAGTCAATCAGTAGTGATAACGGGGGCGCCGTAACTGCCGCTCAGGGCAGTGATCGCCGGACGCGATAGCGTCCAGTACGCGAACAGTCGGTGATTTTCCGGGGGCCGGGTATCTTCTGTCAGAATTCGCGTGTAGTCCGGTTATTGTGGCAGCTCGAAAGTTCGCAACCCTCAACTGACCGAGTTCCAGAAGACTGAACGTGTCGTGGTTGAAGCCCTAATATACACATAAGGTAACAGATTTCTTATACTAACCTGTGTAATTATATTTGTACCTCTGTCAACTTTTCACTATCTTGCTACATCGTCTCCCGACGCGCAGAATAACGTGTTAACGATTGTATTAGGAACTTCAGGGTAGATTCAATATATTGTTGACTCTAATATGGTTTTTTTTTAATGTTCCTTCGTCCGACTCACTAGAGACTAGGAGAACACGAGAATTCTGCGTATACATATCTCCGGCTTCAAAAGTAAGCCCATAACCTCTACTCTTTACAGGACCTGAGACCGAGGAGTTCTTACCCCTATCCCGAAATCCCTTATCTTCTCGTAAATCCACGAAGACGAGCCAGCCCTCCAGACCAGTGTGACCAGTATTCCTTGCAGCCGCTCGCAGGGTTAGCATCCCGTGAGGATCTATTGTATTTTACATTTGGTGACAGTCTTTACAGGACCCTATACATAGAAGTCCTTAATCCCTCTCCACTTCTCGTAAATCTGTCCCACGTTGTATTATTTTACACTATGTTGTCACAAATTAAGACACCATCATCAGCATATCGTATGTTGTTGATCAATACTCCATTCACTTTGATTCTCATCTTTGCATCCTCCAAAGACTCTTGAAATATGGCTTCCGAATAAATGTTAAATAAAAGAGGGGAGAGCACACATCCCTGTCGAACGCCCCTTCTTATGTATGGGTTTGGATATGTAATTGTCTATTTTTAACTGTGCCGTTTGATGCCAGTACAAGTTTTCAATGCATCTTATGTCTTTTTGGTCTATATCAACTTAAAAAAAAAGAGGTTAGTCTTCGTAAATAGGTATATTTATTTAAAAACCCTTAAAAGGGCTACATTAGCTACAGTTACCAGCTGTTCTCCGTGTGTAGAGGTTTACTCTCCGGCTCTGGAACTCACTTCAGCCATGTATGTTACCTGAAGTCATATTTAATTTAATACTGAACATCACAGTTTTTTAACAACATGATGTATAGTCTTTTACAACTATATGTAATTTAAAGGGTTTTTACATATGTATTTTGGTGGCTTAGGCATTTTAACCTAGCAATTTTAAAATTTAAACCTGATGATGGACTGTTTAGTCCGAAAACGTTTGTTCTTTTGATGTAGCCCTTTTAAGGGTTTTCAAATAAATATACCCATTTACGAAGACTAACCTCTTTTTTGTGATACGTGGTATACAGCCAGCTACAGGAATTGTTTTCCTTGTGCATATTATATCAACTTTCTTGAGGATCTGCATTAACTTGTGGTGTTGGACACGATCACGTTGAACACTTTTTGGTAATCCAAAAAGCATAGGAACACATCCTTTTTCTGATCGTAATAATTTTGGACCAGCACCTGTGTTGTTACTATTGCTTCTCGTGTTCCTAAACCTTGCCTAAACCCGAACTGGGAGTCACTGATGTCCCATTCACAGCAATTAACTTACACTTCTTAAAAGATATTTTTACCCAAAGAATTCAAAGGTGGGTTTTACCTACCTCTATGTAGAAATATCGAAATTGTATCCCCCGACCCCCGCGAATCCATTGTAGTAGTCAGGTATTGAAAATCGGAATTTTAAGTCAGTATAATATTGTACCCCAGATTAGCTGGTCGCTCGCATATTAGTTAGTTTTTAGTTTTGAATTCAATCAAATTCGACGCATTTCTGGTTGAAGAGTTTTTAGACTCTCGCGTATCAGTATCAAATTGTATCCCAGCTGAGCTGGTCGCTTCTTGTTTTTAAAGTTTTATCTCTCACATTTTAATTATCGTTACATAGCTTAGAGTTAAAGTCTAAACGCTCATTATTATTGAAGTGACAATTAGTAGTAATATTTAATCTGTATCAGTCATTGTGTTTGTAGTGTGTCGTGGACCACTAAATAGACAGTGATCGGCTATTTCAATAAAGAACTTGCGCTAAAACTTTGGCTAGATATTAACTTAGTTGTAGTAACATTCAATGAATAAATTACGTATTGTTTGAACTGTTCGTGTTCTTATTTTCCACGCCAGTGGGTGGTCCTTTGAATTGGAAGTAAAGACAAGACTTATTACGCTAGCAATATCGCCATCCTAATTTGTTGAACAAATGTCCGTTTAATTCTACCAGAATGGAGCCATTTATTTTAAATCATCCATATACAAAAAAAAAGATAAAGCTTTGGCACAAAAGTATTGATATTTTCTATGCTAAAACCTGAGTCAGTGGAGATCAGTAGCTGAGATATCTTGTTTTCATCGTCAGTCAATTAAAAAAATGAATTTGTTTTGCAATGCATATTCTTACAAAAATTTGATTAAGTTCGATAAAAAAAAATTTAGAAATAATTGAGTATAGCTTAGAATATACAATATATTATAATAATTTACGTTTTTTTAGAACTTATAAACCTTCAACAATAAACAATTTAGGTTAGCTAAGCACAAACAAATTATTAACTCTTTCTATCATCAATATATTAATACCTTAGATATTATTGAAATCATTTTTACCACATCCATGTTTGGTACTTCTTTTCCAGAAATCTATCAGATCCTATTGAACGAGAATTTCCTCCAGTACCAGTGGTTATAGAGTCAGCAGAAAAGGTTAGAAGTAAACCATTGTACAATATTGTTTTACAAAGTCCAATTAACTCGGGAGCGTTGTTGGAAGTATACCTTCACTTTACTGGGAAAATCTTTAACGATTCAACAGAAGGACTTTTCAGGGGTAACTACGTAGATCCGATGACTAAAGAAACTAAGTGGTATGTATATAAGTATATTATTAATTATATATATATATATATATATATATATATATATATATATATTATATATATATATAATTAATTCTATTTTTTTTATTTTTTAACAGGTTTGTAGCTACTCATATGAGGCCAAATATGGCAAGAAGTGTTTTTCCATGCTACGATGAACCCGCATTTAAAGTTCCATTTGTAATTTCGGTAGCCAGGCACAAAAATATGACGGCGATATCCAATATGCCCTTGGACTACACCACTCCACAGTAAGTATATATAACTGACCTTGATAAATAAGTTGTTATATGACTACAAATAATGAATCAAAAACTACAAAAGTAAAACTACTAGTACGCACAATTTTCACGAATATTCGTCGCAGATCACTTAACATTATTTTCTTGTCCATTCTTTAATCTTCTTACACGTCACAACTAGGAGCAGTTTTGTCCACTTCTACTTTTATTCATAGCATACTCTAGTGATCTCCAAGTTCGGGTGTACTTAGAAGTCTAGAAGCGTTATATTCCTGATCAATTTGTCAATTTTTAACTACAAGATGACCTGAATTCATATCGAAATCGTTGTTCTACCTGGATATTGCCCCTTAATGTAGCCAAAAGACAAAAAAAGGTATTTACATGTTTACAAATAATATGTGATTTTTCCTGCCATGGAGTGGCTCAGCGGAGGAGTAGAAGTAGTACGCCAAAAAAAAATAATTTTTCCGTCAAACTCAGTAATAAATCTTTTATACAGCAATGGTTTACGCTTTAAAGCAGCAGTTACAATCTTGCGAAAAGTTTAAATCATAAATATGAGGACGATATCGTGATTCGTGAAAATAAAACTGAGTGAGAATAATAATTCTTATCTACTCATTACAATAATTCCAAGCCTGGATATGTGGAAGCCTTGATATGTGGAATTTGTGTGGCATTGCCGAAAAAAATTAATCTGGAGTGCCGCTACCAAGAGCAGCAGTTTGCAAAATACAGATTGCCATAATGGTCGCCAACATCTGTAGAAGCACTATAGGAAGAAGAAGGCACTACCAATAAATTCATTTGACAATTATCCTGTCGGATCACGCCAGAAAAGTTATGAAGTGAAAGCAACGGTGAAAAGATAATTCAAAATGGTTTAATAATATTTGTTCAATATGTCGCTTTGTTCCGAAATACTGTCATGTGCCGACTTTATAACATAGTCCAGGATGTTGAAAGACAAATAATCTCCAAACTACGAGACTGCAAATATATTTCACTGGCTTTGGACAAAAGCTGTGATTCGTGAATTTCGTGACAGATAGTTTCGATGTTGTGGGAGAGCTATTAGATCTGTCAGAATTGGTTTTCAACATTTCTGATCAAATTATTTACGTTGGATATCTGTTAAACTGTAATGCAGAGGGTCACTGTGAAATTAGATCTAGAATTAAGTAAGCCAGAACCACATTTAGAAGAATTCATAAGGTATTATCTAACAGAGACCTAAAATTGGCATTGCGGATCCACCTACTTCGCTGCTATGTGTTCACGATCTTACTTTATGGTGTCTAGTTCTATACTGTAAATAAAAGTGATCTACATCGCCTTAAGGATTTCGAAATATGGTGCTTTTTCTATCTTTTCTCATGATCTGCCAAACTTCTGCCCCATAAGTCATAATAGGCTCTACCAAGGTATGATAGATTGTCAATTTCGTTTCTTGTCTAATATCTTTAGACCATAATAGAGAGTTTAGAATGTTAACCGCTTTTTCCGAAATATTTATTTTCATTGCATGTTTTTGTGTTTCTTATTTCTAACTCTGGATCTTCTTCATCATCTCCTATTTTAAGATACTCTGTCTTTGACATATTCATATTGAGGTCCCATTTTTCATATTCTTTCTTTAGTTTTCTAAACATGTAGTCCATGTCTTCCTCATCATTCGCTACGACTACCTGATCATCTGCGAAAAATAAAGTTGTTAGACATTTACATCTATGTCTATTAATATAATAATAATAATAAAGGCCTTTATTCATCACATAATATTATTTACATAAATTAATATTCAAAAAGCTCCAAGCAAGTTTCAGTTCAGAAAGTGTACAGTGCGAAGCACTGACACATCCTGTCTGTTCAGCTAACCTGGGCAAACAAATAATAAAAAATATCTAGAATTGTAACCAATTAATAGTACTAATATTTATATAAAAACGAAATCAAAATGTAAATTAAATAAATTTTAGTTAACTAAATGTAGGAAAATATAAAAATAATTAACCTAGCATTCAATTAATATGCGCCCTAAATGTAAGTTCTACTCATAATTATTTATATTATCAAACCTTACCCATGCAATATGTCGTAATTTTTCAAAAACGAACTTTTTAAATTTATTTTGAGTAAAATTAAGAGCAGTGGTATAATTATTCATAACTTGAGCTATATGATATGAAAAAGACCGCTTATAATTATGTGTACGATGATAAGGGATAGAAATGGTGTTTTTATGTCTAATGTTAACATTATGTACATCAGTACGGAATTTTAGTTTATTATAGAGATATGATGGGGTTTTAAAAATAATAATTTTTTGGAATTGACAAGCTGAATGAAAATGTCGTCTGAGTTTCATACTTAACCAACCTGTTTCTTTAAGTTTGTAACTTATTGGTTGATTTTTACGAATACCATGTATCAAACGAAGACAATAATTTTGCATTTTTTGTATTCGGCAACTATCACGTTCTGTAATACATGAATTATAAATAGTATCGCAATAATTAAAATGTGATAACACCAAGGTATCACACAGCAATTGTTTTAAGCATTTGGTCAATATATGACGAGATTGAAATATAAATTTCAAATTTATATAACTTTTCTGCAAGCACTTGTTCACATGATCACCAAATCTTAAGCTATAATCTATATGTAAGCCTAAGTATTTGACAGTTGCCATAAATTCTATCGAAGAATTGTCAATGGTGATAATTCTTAGGAGAGAAAATGAGCAGGAAAGTTTGAAGTATATATACTAAATAACTTGGGACCCAATATAGTTGTGTTTGTGGAACAGCTTGATTTTCTTTTGTTAAAAGTTCCATTACAACTAATCCACTGCCCTTCAATTTTGATTTATTTTTAAACACTAAATCCCGTTTCCATCTGTTTATAAACATCACTGTCGTTGGTCGTACTTTAATTCGACCGACAATTGGATCTTGTTTTTTACCAATCCGATAACAATAATTAATGTCGTTTTCGGATATTTGTATACTTAATTTATTGTTAATGATTTTTACTACCTGTTGATGTAGTTGTTTTGTCTCACTCTCAGGAATATTGTTAAACACGAGACCGTTTAGCAAGTAATTCTGATAATTGTGTTCCATCCTTTTCTCGGAGGAATTACACTTATGTCTTAATTTTTCTATTTCACTTTTAATATTATCAAGGGGTTTTTAAAAATTCTCTTCGAGCACTTTAATTCTGTACAAGAGATTATTATTTTCGGGATTTAATGCAGAACCCGCATCCGCATTTTGATCAATAAGCGATTTGATCTCCTCAAGGCCACCTTTCACGTCGGTTTCTAGCTGCTTACTGCTTCTACCTGACTTTCAAGATGTTCCTGATCCGACGTATTGGGCTTCTGTTGTCGATGGGTTTTTCTTAAATTTTCATTCATCGTCACTTAATGAACAATAAATACGATGAATTTTAACTATTAACAAACAATTATCACTATTTTTCACATCTATATATATAGGAGCCAACTTAACACAACCTACACTTAGAGCGCCATCTGACAATGATTTTATTATTCATGACAATATTCATGACATTTATGTCTATTCCCATTCCGGATACTTGTTTCATCCACTGCTCTAGCGATAATTGAGTATATATTTTAAATAAGGTCGAAGATAGACAACATCCTTGTTTAAGCCCCTTTGTTAATGAAAATGATTCAGATATAAAGTTTCCTTCTTTAACGACACTTCTTGCATTTTTGTATATATTTGCGATAGCATTCACATACTCTCTACTGAGACCTCCCTTTGTCAATGTTTGAAACAGTTTTTTTCAAAAGTACCGTATCGTATGCCTTCTCTAAATCTACAATAGGTGGGTAGATAGATTCCTTGCCTTCCGTTTTTCGATTACCTGCTGCAGAACGAATATACCATCAGTGCACGATCTTCCTGCACGAAATCCATTTTGTTCTTCTATGGATTCGTATTCTGATTCTGTTCTTTCTTTTATTATTTGACCGTACAACCTCCCCACTGAGCTGATAACAGTTATTCCCCTATAATTAGAGCATTTGCGTTTATCCCCTTTCTTGAATATTGAGCTGATTTATCCAATATTCCAATCATCAGGGATATGTTGTCCTTTTAAGCATTTTTTAAATAGTTGAACCAACATCTCATGTAATATTTTTGGTCCATACTTTACCAACTCAATTGGGATGTCTCCAGGTCCTACTGCTTTACCGTTTTTCGATCTTTTAAGGGCATCATTTAACCCTTCGGTTGTTATCTCAATTATTTGTGTGTGTTCGGATATTTCTTTCATTTCGATCTCTTGGGATTTACATATATCCTCTGTCAGTAAGACATCATAATGGTGTTTCCACTGTTTGTCAATATTAAAATGTTTTTATCTACAGAAATATCACCTACTGAAATTTCATTTGTTTAAATTGATTCTTTAATAATTTATTGTAGTGAGGTAATAAAAGACTGGTACTGGGATACTTTCAAAAGGACTCCCGTAATGGCCACTTTTTCCATTGGAATTGTAATCTCAGAATTCAGCAATATTACAAGCAGCCTGTCTCCAGAAAGAGGTGCGTATTATATCATAAAAAAATACTCTAACTTCTTTTTAATATATTTAGTTTATTTAATACGAGGAACAAAATATTGTTCCTCGTATTAAAGAGAGATAAAATTATTTTAGCTTTATAGAAACAACTTTAAATAAGATTTTGGTTTGAAAATATATAAATCAACTAGAATAAAAGAAAGAACCATATTATATATTAGTCTAGAAAGTATAAAAAAAAATGGTCAGTAAACATGTAAAGAAAGCAATAAGAGAACATCAGACAGTTACGGAACAAACTATTTTAATACAAGAATTTCAGGCGACTTTATTAGCAACATAAAACCATACTATATGCTGGTTTTATATATTTAAAACTAGCCTGACACGTGAATCATGTTAAGAGTCCTAAAAGAATTAGATTATCGAGAAAGATCATCAAATAAATGACGATATTGTTATAAACATCAAAAAAGAAACCACATAGATGAGACTATTATGGTGAACTAAAAAAACAGGGGATGATCAACACATAAAATATGTGCATCAACACATAATATGTGAGTTCTCGATCACTACTAAAATATATATTAACGTCTGAACGCATTTTCGATAGCAGACTTAAACACTGACTGAGACTGAATATCTTTCCACTTTTAGCTTTAATTATAAGCCAAAACTAATCATTTTAAGAATGATTATGTAAGATTAACAACAGAATGAACTAGTCTAAAAAAGAACCGTGCAAGTGTTCAAGGTAATGACTATTTTAACCCAAACATAATTTATAAAGAAAATGGGAACTCTTAAGTACACACACTTGACGTATTTGTAGCGACACAAAATTAGTTTCTTAGACAGAGGGTTAACCTGACTATTTCACTCATCTTAAAATTTTCACATAATCTGACCAATCACAAACCAAATACAGCTTGTGTTATCGCGAAAACACCAACTGTCTTTCAATTCTGATTGGTCTATCAGCTTCGTGTTTTCAACGACGTATCCATGGATACCGATCGCAAAGCAAAGTTTGACGTTTGCCAAAAAATTTATTGTAGCTGTATACGTCAAAATGAGTCGTTTCGGTGGTACTTCAAACGAATTTATAAACCAAAACATTGAAGAAAATATACCGAGTAACACAAGAAAATCTAAATCTTATATATGGAGACAATTTATGATGTTCTGTGTGGATCGCAACTACAAATTAGATATAGTTCATGAAATAGTCTAATAAAATACCACTCGTGATTTTTTTTTATTGGGTTAATGCCTCGACAACTATGATCATTGGCATGGTACAGTCTTGTACCATGCCAATCCCAATGATCAAATTGTCTTGATACTTAGCAAAGTCGACGTCATTATGTTTGCTAAGAGACGCTAATTTTATCCGAACGTCTGCGGTCCCTCTGGTGAGTACCGATCGCACCACTCGTGATTTAATTTAGCTTATAAGTTTGTCTTTTATTTCTAAACTCAACTGAGTTTCTTAAAGAAAACACCACTCGTCCTACGGACTCGTGGTGTTTTCAAGCAACTCAGTTTCGTTTAGAAGTAAATCGACAGACTTATCGCGAAAATTGAATCACTAGTGGTATTACTATTGAAAATACAGTTTCGTCAAAGGTTTTAAAATTAAAGAAATTTAAACGTCACAAAACTACTAGGTCAATCAACCAGGCATCTAAAAGAATATTAATTGATGATTTAGTAAATCTTTCACAACTGAAAGATGTGGTCACACTCATGTATCTAGGCTCGCTGTTGATTGTCAGCGAATAAATTAAAAGAAAAATATTTTTTGCAAATAAGTGATACTATGCATGAGAAGATGGCCTCAAAACTATCCAGAAAAATTACATTGACCATCTATAAAACACTAATAAGGCTACTGCTAACACATGGCACAGTAACGTGCTCACTTATACAAAATGAGATACTATTTTAATGGGAGTAAGCCACAATTTAAGGTTAAAATGAGTTTATTGGCATTTTAATTTCCAATTCGTTAATCATTCTCAATAGATTCAGAACAATATTACACAAAATGATCAAGAAATACTTAAACAATTAAAGGTTTGTGGCGTATGTGTTACAATATTGAGTTATACAGAAGTTTTGGGGAACCTGATATTCAGAAAATTATTAAGGTGGCACGCCTAAGATGGATATAATATGTAAGCAGGCGAGAGGAAGGTGAATCAGTTAGAGAAGTTTTTAACCGAAAAGAGCTGATGAGACAACGAGCCCGAAATATAGGTATCAAGACAACTTAGAGGATGATTTCAAAGCTATTGCAGTTACAGTATAGAGGATAGTTGCCAGAGACAGTTGCAAATGGAGGATTCATCTGAAGAAGAAGAATGCTTAGGCTCATAGCGATCTGATGATATCACTGATAATGATCAAATAAATTTCACCTAGTTTTTGGGTTTCGCATCTCAGTAGATCGAGTACTTTATTGACCGTGAATATTAGGCTACCTTATTATTTTTTTTTATCTGAAGCTAAAAAATAATATAGTCCAAACTACTGTCAAACATTTAATAAAATATGATTCTAACTATAGAAGTACGCATTCTTAGTACTTATTTTATAATTTACTTTCGAGGAGTTCTTTAATTACGTACTTATTAAAACTCCACATTTTTCAGATATTGCAGTTACCGTTTGGGCTAGACCAGATTTTATAAATGCTTTAACTAATGTTTCCCAAAAGGTACAAGAGTCCCTAGTTGTACTAGAAGAATTTTGGAAGATCCCGTTTCCATTGCCGAAGTTAGATATATTCGCTTTACCGACATACCAAGCTACCAGACCAGCAGACAGCTGGGGTGTTCTACTTTTTAAGTAAGTTGTAAAAGATCATGAATATAGAATCTTTCCTTCTCATTCATCGAGCCCTTGTCAGGGCGTGGTCACACTCTAAATATTATTGGCTGCTTGTTTTTTTTAAAGAATATCATATTGTATATAAATAATAAAGCTTTTTATGTTTGTAGTCCATATTCCGATAGATATCCTACAATTATTACGTTATAAGTTTTAGGCAGTGATAGTTTAGTTGATATTACAAGTTTACAGAAGAGAACAAAGATATATTTTTGCTGCTTATTTATTTTAAATTGATATTTTAGTTACCATTATAATTTAACTAACTAAACGTTTTATTTCTTCTTTAAGTTCCATCTTCTATCGAAGGTTGGAAATCATCATGGCTATGCGGACTCTGTTGACTGCCGCTCTAAAAAGTTCTGCACTACTGCATTTAAACCATTCCCTCAAGTTTTTAAGCCAGGATATTCTTCGTCTTCCCACATTTCGCTTTCCTCGGATTTTGCCCTGCATAATAAGTTGTAATAATGCGTATTTTTGCCCTCTCATCACATGTCCCAAGTACTCAAGTTTTCGTCTTTTAATAGTTAATATTATTTCCGCCTCATTTTCTAGCCTTCTAGTTACTTCTATGTTTGACATTCTTTGAATCCATGATATTCGTAGGATTCTTCTGTAACACCAAAATTCAAAGGCGGCCAACTTATTCAGATGAACTTGTTTTAGTGTCCAAGTTTCTAGACCATAAAGAAGAGTAGAGAACACGTAACATCAAAGCATTCTCAGGCGTAGTTCTAACCTTATATCCCGACAACAAAGAAACTTTTTAAGTTTAATAAATGATGTACGTGCTATTTCAATACGTGTCTTAATTTCTTTGGTTTGGTCTACATCTGATGTTATCCATGTTCCTAAGTATTTATAGTTATTAACACTCTCAATTGCAGTATCTTCAATAGTCAATTGGATATTTGCATGAACAGATTTAGTCATGATCATGCATTTAGTTTTATTTAAATTTATCTTCAGTCTGTACTCATGACAGCGTTCATTAAGGCGTTGCATTACGTTCTGTAAATCATTGTTGTTATCCGTAATTATAACTGTATCGTCTGTAAAACGTAAGTTATTCAAAACTTCTCCATTGATAGATTTACCTTCTATTGAGTCTGAGAGCGCTTCTTGAAATACCGCTTCACTGTAGACATTGAAAAGTAGTGGGGACAGCTTGCAACCCTGGCGGACTCCTCTCTGTATTTTGATATTTTCGGTGTACTGGCTGTCTTACCTTGGCAGTTTGATTAGAATATAAATTAGATATAATTTTCAGATCACGACTGTCAATATTTTTGCATTTTAATATATCTACAAGCTTTTTATGTTGAACTTTATCAAATGCCTTTTCAAAGTCTACAAAACATAAGTACATATCCTGATTCATGTCCATGCATCTCTGAGCCAGTACATTCAAGCCGAACAAAGCATCTCTTGTACTCATACCATTTCTAAAGCCAAAATGTGTGTCTTCTTCTTCTTCTTCGTCTAGCCATTCACGTCCACATCTGAACATAAGCCTCTTCAAGTCTTCCTTTCCATTGGTTTTTATTGTACGCTACTTGTAGCCAATTTTTCCCGGCAGTCCTTTTCAGATCATCTGTCCATCTCATAGGAGGTCTGCCTCTGGGTCTTTTGTGTTGGTATGGTCTCCAAGTTAAAATTGATCTGTGCCATTTGTTTAGATCGCTCCTAGCTACATGTCCAGCGTATTCCCATTTCAGCTTTAATGCTTTTTGCACCACATTGTGTGTCACTAATCTCATATTCAAGAGTTTTAACAATTCTGCTGTGAATTATTTTCAAAAATGTTTTAAGTGTGTTACTCATTAAAGCTATTGTTCTCTGGTCTGAGCAAGTTGTTGAACTTGGTTTTTTGGGAATTGCTACAAAGGTTGATTGCAGCCATTGTCTGGGGATTGTGGCAGTCTGATATATTAGATTAAAGAGTTCAACCATTACATCAATAACATCTTCATCGATGAGTTTTAATAATTCGATGGGCACCTCATCTGGTCCAGTGGCTTTACCCTCTTTTGTGTTTTTGATGGCATAGATGACTTCTTCTCTTAATATTGGTGGTCCAGTATCCTCGGTGATTTCTAATGACAGTTCTTCTCTTTCATCATTAATTAGTTGTTGAATGTAATTGGTCCAGTGACATAATCTCTCCTTCATATCAGTAATAATATCCCCTCTATCATTTTTAAGGATATTCGTTTTTGTACGCTTTCTAGAACCTGTCATTTCTTTGATTTTTTTGTGTAAATTATACCATTATAATTTAACTAACTAAACGTTTTATTTAGAGAAAGCGAACTAGTTAGCCATGATTCCTGCCATATAATCCATGAACTGGTGTACCAATGGTTGGGGGCTTTGGCAACTCCGTTTTGGTGGAGCGATGCCCATATTAACAATGCGTTAGTAAGATACGTCACAGCGTACACTACATTAAAGGTAAGTTACACAAAGCGAGTTTTAAGTTTACAACCTCTTAATTATCTGCGAAAATGGCGTGGACGATTTATATAAATTTTGGTTTGTGGCGGTTTTGTAACACGGTTGATCTTATGGTAGTATTTAATTTTTTTTCAGATTTTATGGTTTACTGGAAATAAAATAAACTTAGTTGTTTTAAATAGATTAAACTACATTTTTTTGAACCCTTAAACAATATCGAATATTTTTTCATATTTTATTCTCTTTAGCTCGAGGTCCTCATTTAGGGGTTGTAGCTAAATTTATATTATATCTACCTAACTTAAAATATTACATTAAGAAATGACTGCAACAATAAAACCTTGACGTTTTTTCTTCTTTCCATTCCTCTTCTATTGGAGATTGGATATCGTGAAGGCTATTCTAACTTTGTATCTAAACAATTCATTTGTGATGTAAATGTAGTATATTATCAGTGAAACAGTAGAAAAATATGTTATAATAAAAACATTTTTAAGATTTTGCAACGAATATTATAAAATGGCTGCGTATTATGGATTTTAAATTTAGACTTACCGGACACTTATGGATCAATTACCAACAAAACAACCAAAATAATATTTTTGGGCGACTACGAACTTCCCCACGCTACCTACACTGCATCTAATTTACATACCGATGCACGTCATCGGCGTCATAGCCCGTGACGTCACATAATACCAACACGAAATATTTAGGCAGTAGGTGTGTTCTTTTTTAGAATCACTTTGCCGAGTACACTGGCATTACAGCCACTAGACAAATTTTACTATATACGCGTAGAAATAATATTTAAAAATTTCTATTAATGTTAATTTAAAGAAATACACAATATGTTTCATTTAATTTGTATAAATGAATTATAATGCGATTTTATGAATAACATTTGTTCGGAGCACACTGTAACTGTAATCGAACGAAGCTGAAATTTTGGCATACATTGGTAACACTTATTTGACAGTTGCGGTGTTGACACTTTTTGTACTTTATTATTTTGAATTTTAAAGTGAATACCTCTTGTTTTATATTTTTATCTATTTAATAAAAATTGTTCTTTTTGGAACAAAATTAGTGTGTTTTATTTCAAAAATGCACGTAAGAATTTAAATAGTCGTTGTAGAGAGATGGTAATACTTTTGCAATAATTATGTGATCTATTTGATTTAAAATGGAAATTTTAATAAACTTTTCCATTTTCACTGAATAACAAAAAATTGGTCACACAAAACAAAATAACTAAGGTTAGGTAGAGACCCACGACCCACGAAACTGTGTTGCTAGCACAACTCTATCCACGCCAACCAAGTCTGGCAGTAGCCTGGCCGTGGTTTGGGTTTAATATGCGTCGCTCCGTCTAAAACCACGTTTTACAAAATAACCCACGCGTGGGCTGCGCGTGGGATATGCGTGGGCTGTGCAGTTAGATAACGACGATATTTTTTTAGTTTGGAGTATCCCAGCTTAAAAATATTTATTTGCCTACTCGGTAGGTAATATGAATTGCCTATCTCTTAATAATTGCAATATTTATAGTACGGATTCTTATTGGGGATTCTTATTGCAACAAACATTTTATTAATTTATTAACGTGACGAAACATTACAATTCCTCGAATGATTTTTCACTCTGGGCTAGGATGAATAGGAGTAGTAATAAAAAGCGTCAATAAAGAAAACGAATTAACCCTCCATTGATCTTTATATAATCTAAAAAACTAATCTTCTATTATGTTTCAGATGCACGATTGTGATTCTTATAACAATTGGCCGATGACAATACTGTACTCCAATTATTACGAATTTAGCAAAAGGTATCCTCATGGCAAAAGCACAGCCATCAAGCAAGATTCATCTTCAGCCAAAACGGAACTGGTATTTAGAATGCTAAACTACACGTTAGGAGAAAGCACATTTAGACACGGCATGCAACGATTTATGTTGGATAGGTAATGTGACAATTAACAACACCACTAGAATATTAGTTCAGTCGTCAGAGATTTGATCCCTAAAAATGATACAAACAAGTTGTATTTTGCCAAGAATAAAAATTTTGGGATCCCATAGACAATACAAAAAAGTATACCAGGTTTACCCCCTGGCTTCCCCCTAATACCCCCTCATCTTCTTCTTGTGCCACTCCTAGCGGAGATTTGAAATCATCATGGCCACTGCGACTTTGTTAGCAGCGCGCCTAAAAAGTTCAATCGAACTACACCCGAACCATTCTCATAGATTACGAAGCCACGATATTTTTCTTCTTCCCACACTTCTTTTGCCCTTAATTTTGCCCTGCATGATGTTTCTTAAAAGTTCGTACTTTTCACCTCTCACAATGTGCTCCAAGTATTCAATCTTTCTAGTTTTTATCTCATTTAGAATTTTGCATCTTTTGTCTAAAGTTTGGAGTACTTGCGTTTTAGTGACGCGGTCCATCCATATTCTAAGAATGCCCCTATAGCACTACATCTCGAAAGTTTCGATGTTTTTTATGGACAACTGTTTTAGTGTCCAAGCCTCAACTCCATATAACAGGGTAGAAAAGACATAACACCGCAGAATTCGTATTCGTAACTTTATATTGATATCACGATTGCAAAAGAGTTTGCGCATTCTATTAAAGACTGATCTAGCGATTTCTATTCTACATCTAATCTCTTTTGTTTGATCAGTATCGTCTGTGATCCAAGCACCTAGATATTTATAACAGGGCACACGCTCAATCGTTGTATTGTCTATTACAAGATTAGCTCTGATGTTCTTTGATTTCGTGATTACCATAAATTTAGTTTTTTTCAAATTAATTTTCAAGCCGTAACTGTTACAGTATATATTGAGACTTTGAACGAGATGTTGTAGTTCTACTAGCGTTCCCGTTAGGAGAACTGTATCGTCAGCATACCTTATATTGTTGATCGTCTCACCATTTATTATCAGACCAAGATCTTCTTCCTCGAGTGCTTGTTCACAGATAGCTTCACTATACAGATTAAATAAAAGTGGCGATAAGATACATCCCTGCTGGACTCCTCGACGGATTTGAATTTCTACTGTTAGTCTGCCCTCAACCTTGACATTTGCTGTATGATTCCAATATAGATTACATATAATTCGAATATCTTGGCTGTCTATATTTTTCTTTATTAGAACTTGTCTTAGTGGTTCATGTTGTACTTTGTCAAAGGCCTTTTCGAAATCAATAAAGCAGGCGTAAATTTCTTGGTTCATGTCTACGCATCTCTGTGAGAGAACGTTCATTGCAAACAGAGCCTCCCTTGTACCCAGCCCTTTTCTGAATCCCATCTGAGTATTACTGATGTCTACGTCTAATTTCCTATAGACCACCTCGCAGAGGGGTAAAAACTAAAAAAAAAAAATCGATTTATCAAGAACCTGTACATCGTAGAAAACAATATTTCAAATAAAAAATTGAATGTCAGTTGCGCGCACGAAATCAATGATACATAATACGTGTATTAAGTCGACGGTAAAAATTCGATATCTTTTGATCAGAGTGTCCTATGGACAAAAATCAAAATGCCTTTTAAAGGTGAAGAGCGCAACGTTCTTGCAATTTTTGTATTTTGTCGTAACTGTAGTCAGCGTCTATAAATATGTTCAATAAATAACCGTTGCCCGATTTTTGCCATTTTTTACAATTCTCGTGAGATCAATAAAATTTATAACTTTAATTGACCGTTAATAGTGAAATTTCGATTATAGAGACCAATTTTTATAACCTATAACATAAAATTTGAATTTTCGGTTGTGGCAACAAATATGAGGCATTTAAAATATGATTAAAAAGCGCAGAATTTAAACTTTTACATTACAAAGGATCGCACGTCACGGGAAATGCCTCCAAGGGGATGGTTTTGAGTGCAATCTGTAGCAGAAATTCTTAGTTTTGAAAAAAGTACTAGTGTAATTGAAAAAGAGCAGTTTCAAATGTTTTAGATCCGTGGTAATGTAAAAGTTAAAATTCAGGGTTTTTAACACATTAAGTGCCATTATGGACAAAAAAAATCTGTCCGTGGTGCCAAATTTTTTTTCTCAATTTATAAATAAAAATAACCATAAATGACTTTTTGTGCTATTAAAAATTAAATAAATAATAATAAAAAACCTGTAATTTAACAAAAAAAAAATAAATATACAGCATCCTCTGAGTTTCAATTTTTGCTTTCGAGCCATATGAGACCAACGTGTCACCACACCATGCTGATGTAATATATTCACAGATTTCGACTTGCAAAGGTTTACGTTTAGGTAATACAATGTATTAACTACAGGGGAATAACACTCCTAAACACCACCTACAAAATCCTTGCTAACATCCTGCTAGAAAGAACCAAAACATACACAGAAGAAATCGTTGGAGATTATCAATGCGGATTTAGACCGGGCCGCTCTACAATTGACCAGATATTCACAATAAAACAGATAATGGAAAAATGCTGGGAATTTGATCGTGAGCTTCATCAGATGTTCATAGATTTTAAACAAGCATTTGATAGAGTATGTAGGGACAGACTGTGGACAGCGATGCAGGAACTTGGCTTTCCAAAAAAACTAGTCCGGTTGATACGGATGTGTATGGAACGGTTACGATGTAAGGTGAGAGTTGGACAACAATAGTCGGAGACATTTGAAATAAACAATGGACTAAAACAGTGAGATGCACTTTCACCACAACTCTTCAACTTAGCTCTGGAGCACATAATCAGAAGTGCAAGAATCGAAAAACCGAATACAGTATTTCATCGAGAAGGACCAAACTTACTACTGGCATTTGCAGACGATATAGATCTAATAGGAAACACGCGATTAAGGATGAAGGAGACTTTCCTAAGGTTTGAGAAGGAAGCAGAGAAGATGGGGCTCCAAATCAACGAAAACAAGACGAAATATATGTATATGAACCGCAATAACCAAAGCAGAGACAGAATCGGCCAGAACATTACCATCGATGACTTTAACTTTGAGCGCGTTAGAGAATTCAAGTATCTTGAAACAACAATAACTGAAGACAATAACGGATCACACCTTATAAAATCAAAACAACTAACACGACGTACGAAGAAACAGGTCTATAAAACAATCATACGACCCGTTGTGATGTATAGAAGCGAAACGTGGACGATAACAAAGGCAAATGAAGAGAGACTACGTGTTTGGGAAAGAAAAATCCTAAGGAAGATCTTTGATCCGGTGCTTGATAAAGCATCAGGACAATATAGGATAAGAACTAATAAAGAGCTTGAAGAACTTTACCCAGACGCCAACATCATAAAAGAAATTTTTTTTTTTTTATTAACCCCACATTTATTACAATCTATCTGTACAATCTAAACCTAAATATTTGGGTAGATAATAGACAATAAGTAATAGGACTGACAATAATTTGGAATGACATGTAGGGAGGCATCCAGTGATGCACCCCTTTTTTTAAAAACTTAGCCTACAACACTGACTATTTCTGACATAGACTTGTACACATTAATTTAGAACCTATTGTTCACTTAACTCTAACGGAACTTTTCGTTTTAGCCTACGAACAGTACGCGGTTTATTCACTAAACTTTTTGCTAACACGTTTGGGTACACTTTAAGTTTCTCTTTATGTTTTTTCGCGCACTTTTTGATGTCATCTTTGACATATGATATTCCGGCATCCCGATGAATGGCTTCATTGGTTATGAACCATGGAACTCCTAGTATTGATCTCAATGTTTTGGACTGGAATCTTTGTATTATTTCAATGTTGGAATGTGCGGCGGTTCCCCATAATTCTATCCCATAAGTCCACACTGGTTTTAGGATGGATTTGTAGATTAATATTTTATTTTCGGTTGATAGTTTTGATTTTTTGCCCAACAGCCAATATATGGTTCTTAACTTATGACCCAGTTGTTTTCGTTTAGTAAATATATGCTTCCTCCAGTTTAATCTTCTGTCCAAGTACATACCTAGATATTTGACTTCATCCCCTTGTGGAATTCCTGTACCGTTTAAGTAAACAGCCGGACATGTTTCCCTACGCGTGGTAAATGTTAGGTGTAGCGATTTGTTTTCATTAATTTTGACTCTCCATTTTGTCATCCATTGTTGGATTTGATTTAGATTATTTTGTAAGATTTCTGAGGCTATTTTGGGATTTTTGTTCGACGATATTATTGCCGTATCATCCGCAAATGTAGCTGTAGTTATGTGTGTTTTTTTCGGTAGGTCAGCAGTAAATATAAGGTATAATATAGGTCCTAGTACACTTCCTTGGGGCACCCCAGCGAGAATTTGTTGTATGTTTGTGTATTCATTCTCATACTTTACCTGGAAGTTTCTGTTGGTGATATAGGACTTTAAGAGTATATAGTAATTTGTAGGTAAATTTTGTTTTAGTTTACATAATAAGCCTTTATGCCAGACTTTATCAAATGCCTGACTTACGTCCAGAAATACCGCCGAGCAGTACCTATTATTTTCAAAGTCCTCGTTGATTCTCTCTACAATTCTGTGTACCTGTTGTATCGTTGAATGCTGTTTTATAAACCCAAATTGGTGTGGTGGTATTAGTTTTTTGTTTTCTAGTATAGGCATTAGCTTAGTAAGTGTCAGCTTTTCAAAAACTTTGGATACCACTGGAAGAAGACTAATAGGACGGTAGGACTGTACACTTTCTGGTTCTTTTCCTGGTTTTAGTATCATTGTTATTTGTGCTAGTTTCCATTGTGATGGGAAGTGGCCTAATCTCATTATAGAGTTGAATAACTGTGTCAGAAATTGGAAGCCTTTCTCTGGGAGTTGCTGAAGAGTTTTTCCCGTAATCAGGTCGTATCCTGGAGCCTTTTTTGGATCGATGTTGTGTTGTATAATATTTTTTACCTCATTTTTTGTGAATCTTTTTTCGGGAAGTTCTAGTTGATAAGGTTTTGTGAGTATCGAAATAATT